TGCCTCCCGCCGGTGGAAGTCGTCGGCGGAGATTTCCTACGAGGAGGCCCTGCGGAGGGCGAGGAGGAACCGGCGGGAAGGTGTGGGGGTCTACTCGCAAGTCCCCCTGCCCTACGTCAGCCCGTACGCCTACGTGGCCAGCGACTCGGAGTACTCGGCGGAGTGCGAGTCCTTGTTCCACTCCACCGTGGTGGACACGAGCGAGGACGAGCAGAGCAACTACACAACGAACTGCTTTGGAGACAGTGAGTCGAGCCTGAGCGAGGTGGAGTTTGTAGGGGAGAGCACGACCACCAGCGACTCTGATGAGAGCGGGGGCCTTATTTGGTCTCAGTTTGTCCAGACGCTCCCCATCCAAACGGTCACGGCGCCGGAGCTGCATGAAAATGCGGCGAAGGCCTTTGTCAAAATCAAAGCCTCCCATAACCTCAAGAAGAAAATCCTCCGCTTTCGGTCGGGCTCCCTGAAGCTCATGACAACTGTCTAGTGAGGTGACTTGGTGGAATGTATCTGCTTCTGCTTTCGGAAGCAAGGTGCTTTTGTGTACATATTTCCACAGATTTTTTTTTTTTTTTTATACAAATATTTAAAACTTAAGGTAAATTATGTCACTTGTCTTCAGAACTTGGGTGGATACTAGTGCCTTTTACGTGGAAATAAAAGACCATTATACTCGTTTAAAAAAAAAAAACAAACCACATAACACTGCCATTTCAGTGGTGAACAGCCTCCAGTGCATGGTATCAGAAGGCTTTGAAAAAAGGCTAATGTTCTGGGAATGGATCTTCCTTGCCTAGTTTTTCCAGTTCTGGGTCTTATACAGGATATCGACAGCTTAAGGTCATAAGTTTTTAGGGGATAAGGGGGAGGGAGTGCGGGTGGTCTTCATGTTTTTGCTTGTCCCTTTCTGCTGCTCCTGCTGCCACATCTTGAACTTCTTCCTCCTGGTAGTCTGGCCTGTTTTTTTTTCTTTTTTTCTTTTCTTGTTGATCCTCTTCTTGAAACTCACCCCCGTCCTCCCCTAGCTTTCCCACACCAGGAAAGGGCTCCAGTTCAATCTGTCTTCAAGGTTAAGTTGCCTTCTCTGGAGTGCACTCTGCTCTGATCTCCTGGGAGTCCCGCTGCAGACGGCAGTGGTGTTCAGAGTAAACTGTTGGAGCAGCTGACCAAGGCTTAGTAACTTCAGTATATTGTGTAAAACTGCTTTTGAAAGAGAAAAAAAACCATATGCATGTCACGTGCATGAGTATCAGTAGTTTTAATATTCCTGTTGATGTCCAATTTACTGTACATCATCAATGGCTGTTTTTATATATATATCATTGTGTAAATTAATATAACACATCATATGCTGTAATAAACAGTCTGTTTTAATATTTGTTTAAAGTTTGTTACATTGGTGCAGACCCAGTGAATGGTTTTATATTGGCATTGTTGCCACTTAGATGGCTCTTTGATGTGACCTGTTAATGTTCCCTGCATTTAGCCATGCAGGAAACTGAGCAAGTTTTAAATGTTGCTGTGGATGTGACTTGTGCTTTGAGGGAACTGGATTGTCATGGCTCCTCTTGTTCTTCCCATAACTTGCATTTTTTTTTAAAGGCAAGGTGGGATTTAGAAGCTCAGAGGCATCTTCAGGTTGTTGCTTGTGGGTAGCTCATGTTGCAGAGCAGATGGAAAAGTAGTATTAATCCTCCTCGCTGTCAGGGTGCTTGCAGACTTTGGTTGGTACAACACAGGGGCAGATGGTAAGTTTCTGTAACCAAATAGATCTGTGTAACGCAACAGGTGTCCCTCTGAAATGTCCGCTGAATGAATCCCCAAGAGCTGTGTGCCCTGGGAGCTGGGCTGGGTGGAGGAGAGCATAGACTCGCTCTCCCTGGTGCCCTCTTTAGGTACGGTAGCTGACTGTATCACAACCCTGACAAGGTTATGGAAAGAAGTGACAATTGTGTCACCTGCAGGTCTCTGTCTCAGTTTCTTTCTTCCCATAGGACTGGAGGTGAGCCTCTGCCAGCAAAGGAGAAAGGAGCTAACTGTAGACAGCACTGCTTCCCTTCGCAGCAGCAGCTTTGAAGCTGCCTGGTGGGAAGGCTGGAGGTTTATGGTGCATGCATGTCTGATGGAGCAGGCCCAGAGGATGGGCTGGTTTCTGCAGGTTCATCTTCTGCTCTGGCATCCGTGAAGTGGTGGACATACAGCTGGCGTGGATGCTGTGACTGGTACGAATTTCAAGGATATGTGTGCAGCCTGTCCATTCCATAGCAAGATCTGCTGAGCAGACACCTTCCTTTGTGGTTCCTCTGTGTCCTTCCTACTGTCACCCACCTGAAATGCAGAGCAGGTTTTTTTCCTCAGGTTTCCTTGCATTGCAAACATAGGAAGGAGAGGTCTACCCGGAATTCAATGTCTCTGGGAGCAGCTTCTGAGACAGTGGTAACACTTTTTCTGTGTGACAGATTTTTGTTTTTTAATCTGCAGTGTTGTGGATCCCTACCTGTAAAATGTCTCTCATATTATTTTTTTCTCCCTTTTTTAATAGAGGAATGTCAGTTTCTGTAAGGGGTCTCACAGTATAGTTGCAAGGTTCTGGATTCAGTGACCCAGAAAGTCCTTGCATTTCCATCTCCTGTGATACAGGAAAAGCTGTAACTCACCTTAGCTGGTGACAACTCTCCCATTGCTTCACACATGGAAGGGCAGACTGTGTGTGTATATATATATATATGTATGTATAAAAATTTTATATATTGATACAGAATAATGTGTCCAGAAATTACTGGACAATGGCTGCCACTACAGAGAGGGGAGAAAAGAAGTGTTCGTTATTAAACATGGCATTACTGAGGCTAAGCAACAGCTTAATACATACCTGTTAATAACCGATGTGTGTTATATCAAACAAAGGGAATGTCAAGGAGCTTGTCGAAGCCGGTAGTTTCTTTCCTAGGATATCTCTTAATCATGCCACATAATCTCTCTTTGAGCGAGAAAAACACGTGCAAATCCCTGTAAATCTCCTCAGAGGTGTAGCAGAGTGGCAGAGAGGATCTGTAGACATGCACTCTGTCTCCCTGGCTGTAGAGGAGCTGGTGGTGGGAAGACAAACCGACCAGTGGCTTTGGGATGATGAGTTTTTAATTGCAGCACTATGGCAGATTGTCTTGTAGCAGGTGAGGGCGGCTGGTTTTCAAAAGAGAGCTGCCGCATAGTTTTTTTGAGATAATGAGTTAGAAAAAAAGAATATAACCACCTAAATATCACTAAGACTGTGTCAGCTGCAACCACTGTATTCTGCAGTACTCCTGTTGAACAGCTTAATACCAGATGGGGAAATGGGCTGATGCCGTCTCCATCTTAATTGCATATGAGTCTTTTCAGTTTGGGGAAGGAATTTTCCTTTTCTTACACGATTTAGGTAAGCATCCAGAATCCTTTAAAGAAGCCTATTTTTTTCTCTCAACATCCTTCCTCCCCCCCCTTTTTTTTTTAAGTAAAGGATCTTGCAGTGCTGGAAAAGTACTTGATACGGTCCCAATACACAGTGCACATTCTCTTCTCTGGTTCTGATTTAGGAAACACATCTAAGTTAGTAAGTTTTTGCAACGTTAGGTTGAAAAACATCTGTTAATCTTGGAGACCAGTTGAATATCTGGCACTTCTTTAAGCTACCTGGCTTTCCAGCTCCACAGCCTTGAGTCCTTGCCAGTGTATTTTTCATAATGTTCGCATTTTAATTATCCCCAGTGTTTATGGTAGTCTTTGGAAGTTTGAAGCGGGAACATTTCTCTTCATTGCACTGGGGCCTATTTCAAGGTGGGGGCAGGTTGTGGCGGGCAGGTTTGGGATTAGCTACCCCTGTGCTCCATATATAACTGAGTGCAGGAAAGTACAGAAGTGTGTGTTTAACATAAAGAACAAGAGCAGACCCCTTTAGCTGGATTCCTTGCGATTCAGGTTATAAAGTGTCGCTGCGCATCTGTAAAGTACCAGGGCAGGAATCGGCATCGTGCACACTGAAGTGCTGTCATTTGAAAGGGAATGAGAGTGTTGCTGGGCTGTCTGCCTTCCAGCAAGCTTTTTGGGTCTCCTTTCTGCTCCCTAACCCCAGCCACCAGCTGTGGGTCAGCGGATCATGAAGCAAGCTGTGTCTGGTGCGTGCGGGGTCGGAGAGAGGCCCTGGCATTGTGCCTAGACGTCCCAACTGTGTGGGGCCCCTGTTGTGAATATCACTTTTGTCATAAGAAATTCGATGTGGTGCAAGGATTTGGACAGCTGGGTCTAAAGGAAGGTGACAATGGAGAGCCCCATAAATGGAGTGGTCTGATCCTGAATCATCTTTATTTCCAGGAGAGACTAAAAGAGGAGGTGTTTCAGCCTAGCTCAGCAAGCTGGACTCGGCTAAACAGTTGTCTGAGGGACTATGCCTCATTTCTTCCAGTATTCTTTAAATGATTAAGGCCACTGTCAGCACTGCCGGTTGCTGAAGTGCTTTAACCATCTGGCCAACTCCTGCAAGAGCCTTACTGGGACAAGTGATAAGCTCCAGTCCCCCAGGTCTGTTTTTGGCCTTCCATAGCACAACCCCTGCTTGCAGAGAACCTGTAGGTGCCAGCTCTTTGCAGCTTTCACTGTCCTAGGGCTTCAGAAGGAATCTGTCCATCCCTTACAAGTTTTCTAGTTTTCTTCTGGCTTGGGGGTCATCCTGGATAAGAACTGACAACAGGATCCCCACAACAGAGTCCTGTACCTTCACTAATCCCAAATCTATCTGTTTGTTGGCTCTGAGAAAGGTCAGGAGCTCCTCAGGTGGCAGCCAGCAAAGCCATCCCTGAGTGACCTGCATCCCTTTCTGCCACAAAGGACAGCAAAGGCTTTTATTAGCTGTGATGACTTTATTAGCAGATGACTTACCACACTGGGCACCGCTCTCCCTCAGCATGTGATTTTTCTCACAGGAGGGAACAAGGACATGAACATTTTGAGGAAGCTGAAACAGCTAAAGCCATATTTAATAGCTAATCAGCATCTAGTATGTACCTTTGGAGTAGCCAACAATAATACATACAACTGAGCTGCTAGTACAAAAACCTGAACCATTCTCAACTCTTTGCAATGTCCTGTGCACCGTGCAGAGAGGATACAGAGACTGCAAACCAATGGAGACAATTCATAAACCCCAGGTCTATCTTTCAAACTGGCTTTTCTCCTGAATTTCTCTGAACCTCCAAGGAATTGTGTTGAGGCTCCTTGCATGGCATGATGTTTCTTTCTCTAACTAAACATTATAGATGGAGCACTGTGGTGAGAAATAATTGTTCTGGGGTTTAAAAAAATCCTACAATGCTGGAGTGAGGGGAGACATGAAAACAAGTGGGAGATCCATTTAAAAAGGATATTAGAAAGTGCTTTTTTACACAGCAGGGAATTTGCTGCCACAGGAAATAGCAAAGCAGATATAATATCAGCAAGTTCAAAGGGGTTAGAGAAGGTAGGGAAGGATTTGTGCTCTACAATCCCCAGTCAATGACTGTGGATGGTAGGAGGAGTGTGAGGTGAATGGACTGCAAGTAGTGGCCAGGCTTGCGTGCTCTCCCTAAAGATTGTCTTTTGCTGCAACTGCTGAAGCACCGTTAGCTGGAAGAGATGCACCATCCTGCCGACGCAGCAGACCATTTCCTGTATTCCTGTGATCTTGGTGTAGCTGATGGGAGTTGTCTATGCAATTGAATTTCCTCACTCTTTATTAGCCTTTTGTCCTCCCAACTACTGCTGAAGACAAGTTTTGCATTGTTTGCAAAGAAGTTCACTTTGCATGTTTGGCTGATGGTGGCACACATTTATTCAAACTATGGACATGTGTTTCTAGTCATTCTTGTCCTATGGCAGAATAATTTTATCCACCCTTTCACATGGGCAGTCTGTGCTGAAGTCCTGTTATGGTGAACATGGTCCCCCTGTAATGCAAACACTGTTATGGACATAGTCCATATAGTAGCCTACTGTGGGAGTCACTGTTGGGCAGAAATTTTACATCCTACAGTTGCTTCTAAACTGTAGGAAAAGTTGATGACCAAAATGAACTGTCCTAGTGACAGAGTGTTGGGCATCTA